AGTACCCAGTCGAGTCCTAACAATGTGGCGATGCAGTTTTTCAGCAACAATGATTGACGACTACGCCGACTTAAGGCAGACGTTGCAGTAACAGCTCATTCTGATGAAGGAGCTCACCGGTAAGCCATCTACCTCATCCAAGAGTCAGTCGCGTGCCAGTGGTGGTTCACAATCTGTCGATTGCATTGTCGGAGGCATCACTGAGTTCCGGTAGGATTCACAGGCCCATATCACCTTTGATTCCTGATAAAAACGATAAGTGGGCTAGTTTCCTGTTGATCTGGTTTTACTCCTACCCCGCAAACTAGGCCCTGCCTTAAAATAACGCTATGTCCAATTGATCCTTCTAAGAGCCCAGGAGAAATCACTTTGACGGACACGGTGAAGACGTTGTCACGGATATTCAATGAGCAGTCGCCCCTGTTCAATACTCGATTCCAGTGTCTCCATCTCTCTGATCGTCAGTCCGGCGATTCCATTACGTGTGCGGACATTGTCAATCGCAAGTCTGGCCGCATTCAGCTCGGTTCACTCATTAAAAGTCAATTTAACTGCCTTACATTTATCTGCAGCCTCCAGTTCCCCAAGGATGCTGATATCCAGACATGTTGCCTGTCCAAAGTGCAGCATAACAACTCAGTTACGCTCCATGGGCGGACTGTAGAACGTCAAACGCCGATCAATCTCAAGCACGACTCCGCCATAATCCAGGACACTTTCACAATCTGCTCGGTCCATACGGTAACGGAAACCACATCACAAAATGTCACGAGGCCTAGACAAGCGCTCGAGATGAAATCACCGCCATCTCCTCGTCAGTACTGTGATACATGACGTTTTAGTTGGGACTGAGCCTTCCACCAACATGGCTGTCATTTTCACCCCAATCGCCTCTGAAAAATACTGAAACCGTGGCGGGAAGGGATCGTGAGGGCAAGGACCTGGAAAGGACCGACGTTCTCAGCATCTAAGCCATGCTGAGACAGGCGCGGCCACATCGCGACGGATCACAAGCGTCCGCCCAATCGGTTGTTCGACGTCGACGCCACGTTTGGTGCTTCCAGACAGAGCGGACAAAAGGATAGTTACAAAGGCACCATGAAGGGGCCCATCGACAAACATCGGCAGGCCTGGGCACAGCCGTAAGAACTGGATCAACAACCTTCAAGTCCAATAGCACGGAAGAGGTCAAAACGGGGAGCGAAACACGCAACTGCCAGCGATCAATCGACTATTAAACATACCAGCGTTAGTACGACGAGCGAAGCGTTGCATGTACGAATGTGTGCATTTAATTCACACGAGAATCACGCCATAGACCGAGACTTGACTTGGTGTAGTGGAGGACCAATGCGGTCGTGGCACACGACAGACGACGGCTTAGAGGTCACGTCAGCCGCCGCACCGTCCCGGAGTCATCTGTTTGACAGACTTGAGCAGTCAACAAACGCACGGGGACGGGGATACGAGATAGGGCTCGATTGACGGCCAATAGTAGAAGTCAGTGGTAGGGGGCGCACACAGATTGTTCTTACGGAACTCACTCGTTCCGTTGTGCCTTACGGGCTCTCTCTCGAGCCCAATCAGCAGCCGCACAACGGAACGAGTGAGTTCCGTAAGAATGATCGGTGAGCGCCCCCTACCAATGTATATTCCCGATCGAAAACCGACAGGTCAACGGTCTCGTAGCCCAGCGGTTAGAGGCGCGGACTTCTAACAAACAGGTCGCGAGTTTGAGCCTCGGGTGTTTCAAACTTCGGGGTTGGGTATGACTGGCTGACGGCGGCCAATAAGCCAGAAATGGCCATTCCAGTCTCCCTTGTCTTTGTCGGTAATACCATTCTGCCTATATATCATGCGCCGCTGCGCGGCTGCTGGTTGGGCTCGAGAGAGAGCCCTTAAGGCACAACGGAACGAGTGAGTTCCGTATGAACGATCGGTGAGCGCCTCCTACCAATGCATATTCCCGATCGAAAACCAACAGGGCAACGGGCTCGTGGCCCAGCGGTTAGAGGCGTGGACTTCTAACTAGCAGGTCGCGAGTTCGAGCCTCGGGTGCTCCACAATTCGGGGTTGGGTATGACTGGCTGACGGCGGCTATTAAGCTAGAAATGGTCATTCCAGTCTCCCTTGCCATTGTCGGTAATAACATACAGTAGTAGTCAGGTTGCCAACTGAAGTGGCAACTCTGTATCTGTTCAGGACTGAGGACTGGAGTGCGATGACTCATTCCTAATGATTCGTCTATGGAATTATCAGTTATGACATTTTCGAGCCTTCGAAAATGCAGCCTGGCAGATGTGCAATCGGAGCAGGTCGTGTGCGCCACGTGTGGGTAAGTTATATAGTCGCCAGTCATTACGCCTATGGCTACTTTCGGTTACTCTGACGTCATCTCCCCGCTACATCAAGGTGGGTGAGGTAGATACGTGGAAAGTTCGCCACACTGTAAACAAAGTTGCAGGCCGACCACAGCTGAAAGTATGTCGCGGGACTGCACAGAATGTCGTTGTTCGCGACAGCCGAACTATCGCGTGCTGAATTACCTGACGAGTTGTCCCCTTCTGGGCATGTACTTGTACTTGATACGGCTACGATCATGCCTGATCTACCCGGCCTCGATGGTGTCCCGAACTGTACCTCTCCACACGTGACAATCTGCGGCAGCAGATCTGGACAACTCAACCCATTCCCTTCGCAAACGACGGAGACCGAAGGTCCAAGAACCACCTCCATGTCTTGACGAACTGTGTCGAGCCAGGTTGTGCACTAACCCCCTCTTCGACGCCTCCAGTGGGG